TAGGATATTGTCTACGATGTATGATTCCATGAGTATGATTATGTCAGGCTGCTGCTTGACTAGTTTATGAGACAACGTTCCCAATTTTGGCATTAGACTAAAATGTTAGTAAGGAGAACTTTGCCGGGTTTACAGGGCTGTTTCTGTTGTTGTCTATTCCAGTGCCTCAGTCAATGCCACATGGTCCACCCAGTTTCATTTCTTTGTTGAGACTTTGCAGTGTCTGATACAACTGAGTGGCTTGCTAGGCCATTTCAGAGAGCAGTTGAGAGTGAACCACAATGCTGTGGTTCTGGGGTCACATGTAGGTGAAACCAGGTGAGGGTGGCAGATTTCCTTCCCTGATGGACATTAGTGAGCCAAATAGGTTTTTCCGACAATCAACAATGGCTTCATGGTCATCAGTAGATTCTTCATTCCGGGTTAATTTTCAGATTTCAAAATGCTGTATGTGCTTATAGTTCACCAATCATATTCACTAGTATTGGCAAATGGTGGAATAAGCATAGAGTCAGCACAGGCATCATGGTCCAAATGGCCTTTATCTAAGCTTAGAGCTTAATCGAACATTGCATTTATATAGTGCCTCTCAGAAATACTGGACATCTCAAACAGCAAATGAAGCAATTCTATAATCAGGTTTTTAATACCTAACCCAATCCTGACCCCTGCCCCCTGCCCCAACACATTCACACAGAAATAAAAGCAGAAAGTGCTATAAAAAATTGAGCAGGTCCGAAAGTATGTGTGGAGGGAGAAATACAGTTCACGTTAGTTTTGATTTAAGTTCACAGGCCTGAAAATTAAGCCTGTTTCACTTGCTACCTGACCTCAGTCAGTGGCAAGTCTCCAGCATGATTCAGATTGACCTTTCACCTGAAAACTACATCTCCCAGAGGGCATTGAGGTTGAGCGCCTGTGCAGAGCGTGCGGCTGCGGGACCTGCCTGGGTTTGGTCACGGGATCTAAAGATGGCGTTGGATGTTCAGGCCCGGGACTGGCAGTTTGACCGCTTCGATGAAGGATCCCAGAGTGAGTTCAGAGCTGCGCCTCAGGCCCGGGTTTTGCTGTCTCGGGGTTGCTATGGGGAAAGAAAAGCCTTCTTTTCTGGAGAGATACGCTCTTCTAACTTCCATTCCTCATCTATCCCCGCCTCCGTCCCCCTTGGGCATGGAGACCCTCACCATTGAAGGGACCTCTTTTCTCCTTTCCACTATCCTCTTCCCCCCCCAAGCCTTGGGCTGCCTGTTCCCCCTAAATCATCAGTATCTAATAATCTTAACCATTGATCCGATTCGGTACAATGAACATTGTTTGCAGCAGTTCCTAATGCTGGAATGTCATCTGTGGTCTACTGTGTCTCAGTGCAGTCTGTTAAGTGTTTAGACAAACGGGAGGCTGGAAGAACACAGCAGGCCAGGCAGCATCTGGAGGAAAGGAGCAGTCAACGTTTCGGGTATTACCCTTGGTCTGTTAATTGATGCGTGCATCATAATAGAGAAGATCATTTGGTATAATGAGTTCTTGACAGCTCTCTTAACAGCAATCCTCTCAGTTCCATTTTCTTGTTTTATCCTCGTAACCCCACAAATGTATTTCCTTCAACAGAGTTTCCAATCGTCTTTTGAAATCATTAATTGTATCGGTTTCCACCACCCTCATTAGTAGAGTTTCTTGCCCTTTGAATCTCCTATTCAAAATCTTAAATCTGCGCACTGTTGTCCTTGTACAATCAGCTAATAGGAATACCTGATCTTTATTTAAACCTGGCATTCTACATCTGTTAGATATCCCTTGATCTCCTTTGCTTCACGAGGCAAACCACCAGCTTCTCCAGCTAGGATTAAAGATCCAGTGGTTGATTCTGTACATCTTTACTGCACCCATCTGAGGGCCGTCAGGTTCTTCTGAAGGCACTGTGACCAAAATTGGATGTAGTACTCCAGTTTAGGTCTTTTGAGTTCAAAATAATGTTTGGAACCTTTTTATTATAATAAATCTGAACGCTGCAGGTCAGAGGTATTTGGCATAAGCAGTAGTACGTTTGTTTGGTAGAAATATAAGTAACACAACAAAATGGTGTTTACTTAGTCAGTTGTCACTGTCTGTTCTTATTGACATCTACTTTGGACTTGTTGGTTGGCTTTTGCTATGTTCTTCTTGCTCCTGTGTTTCTGTTGACTATATCTTCTCTTAATTGTGTTGAGGATCATGACACTTTTTGTACCTTTTATGTCTAGCCTGATGCTACATTAAGTGTCTGATTATTTTACCATTGACTTCACCAACCTGATTAGTTTATGATAATTTCATTATTACACATTAGTATCTCTAAGGTTTTGGGAGTAGATTTGCAGCTCGGGTTGTGGGTGTTGAGGTTGGTTGGCTCGCCGAGCTGGTTTGTTGTTCCGCAGACGTTTCGTTACTGTGCTTGGTAACATTCTCAGTGCAGCCTCTGATAAAGCGCCGGTGTGTTTTCCCGCCCGCTTTTTAAACTCTGGGGTCCGTTGCGATGGATTGCCTCACTTCCGGGTTTCCTCCGTAGTGGAATGTATATGGGGTCGAGTTCGATGTGTTTATTAATAGCATGCTTCGTGGAGTGCCATGCTTCCAGGAATTCTCGTGCTTGTCTCTGCCTAGCCTGTCCCAGGATCTTGGTGTTGTCCCAGTCGAAGTCGTGGTTCTCCTTGTCCATGTGGATTAAGATGAGTGAGTATTGATCGTGTCTTTTTGTAGCCAGTTGGTGTTCATGTACTCTTGTTGTTAGTTTCCTTCCTGTTTGTCCGATGTAGTGTTTCTCGCAGTCTCTGCAGGGGATCTTGTAGATGACATTGGTCCTGTCAATGGCAGGGAGTGCGTCTTTAGTTCCCCTCAGACAGAAGTCGCCCTCAGACCCATATTCTCCCTACCAGGCACTCCATCGCACAGATTAGCCACAGAACTACAAAGAAGACTCAAGCACCTAGTCAACAAATCACCCCACTCCATCCACTCAGCCCAAGAATTCCTCAACTCCATCAAAGACATAAAGATGGAGGACGAAGAGACCATGATATCGTTTGATGTCACCGCCCTATTCACATCAATAGACATACCACTAGCAAGGGAAACAATGACAACACTACTTGAACAAGAACACGACCCCAGTGAAACCATCTCCAAAGACAACATGCTTAAAGTACTGGACCTATGCCTGACCACCCACTTCACCTTCAACGGCCAAACATACGAGCAAATCAACGGGACACCCATGGGATCGCCTGTCTCCGGACTCAGCAGAAGCAGTGATGCAAAGACTGGAAAGGACTGCCCTTCCGCAAATCCAACCTAAACTATGGATACGCTACGTAGACGACACCTTTGTCATCATTAAATGGACCAAATTAGAAGAGACACACAAACTCATAAACAACACCCTCACCGGAATAAAATTCACCAGA